GTCCAGAGGCCAGACCTCAGGCCAGGGAAGGATATAGAGGGAAACTGCTCAGAGAAGGAGATAAGATAAGATGCTGGAGTTGTTGCAAATGCTCCTGGGAAAGTGTCAGTACATATAGGCAAGTGAAGTTTAGGGATGTGGAGTGGGGACTTGGGGTGCAGGAGTGAGAAAACCATTAATGCTCAAGGTCCAGGCTGGATTACACAATTCCATAGGGAAAAGATGCTATAAGCAGTAAACACACACACACACACACATACACACACACACACACACACACACACACACACACACACCAGTGCTTTCCTAGCTCCCCCAAAAGGAAGAGGTATCTCCATTCTATTGAGCATGGGTGTTAACTGGCAGGATTGTGCACTGAGATGTGGATGGGTTAGAGCTCTTGGCTTCCTGCTTCCACACTGGGGGCGGGGTGGGGTGGTAGGGCAGACCAGATTTCTGCCCTGGGAGGTATTAGTCACTGTGTCTGCTCCTAATAAAGGAGTTTTGTATATCCCATTGGGTGTTTGCTTCTAGCACATTAACTCCTCAGGAAGCCCATCAGACAGGGAAAGGCAATTGGCATTTCTAAGTTGATCATACTATTAAATGTGTTCCAAATCCTGGCAGAATCTCTAGCCTGCCTGAGGTGTGTAACTATTTGTTCCCAATAAGATGCAAAGAAACTCAGAAATCACTTTTGATATCTAGAAAAAGGTCTGAAATGATATACACTAAATGGTGAATAGCAATCACCTCTGGAGGGTAGGATGCAAGAGAGGAATAGTGAAGGGGCTGTCACGTTTTCACATTTCAAGTATACTTTGGTATCATTCCATTTTTTTACAATAAGCATATAATTCTTCGTAATTTAAAAATAATAATTAACAAAGAAATGCCATATCATAATATAAACCCAAATTTAAGAGTCTGTATATCCTAAATAATTGTATAATTATATAAATTGCATATGTGTCCCCCTATTTGAGAGAACAGAAACATTCTTAAATACTGCTGCTAATTCAGATTCATTGGCAATTAACCTCTCAAATCCTCCATTTTCTCATCTGCAAAATGGACATTCTAATGCCTACTTCACAGATTAGTGACAAAACATAACAAAGTGTTCCTAAGACATGAATTACTATGAAGTATGAACTCACAGGAAACTTCCTGGCATTCTCCAGGATATTGAGCTTGTTTTTCAAAAACAATATGGCTGCTAGCAAGAGATATTTGTTGAAAAATGAAGAGCTCCCATGGCTTTCTAACAATGATAGTTGAGGATACCTATGTCACATTAAGGTCAGCGTCATTTACACAGGCACAGTTCTACACTGCAATGTCCTTAGAGAAAGCACTCAGTACACATTGTGGAATAAGTGCTTGTTATGTAGGCAGCCCATCTAAAGAGATAACGTTATCACTTATTTTCACTGATGGGAAAACGGAGCCTCCAAGAGAAAGTGGAAGACAACTTTGCTGATGTGAAAGTCCTTTGCAACCAAACTCTGCCCTATTTCTACAGATTAAAAGAGAAGGGAGGGTATGAGATTTATTGGGGCTTTGCTGAAAGTAGGGAGGAAGAGGATACAGAGAAGAAGGAAGGAAGAACGTACAAGCAGCCAAGTGACAGATTCCTGTGTGAATTAAGTTGCAGGAGGAAAAAGCCTTTTGGGTGAATGAATGTGTGTGCTGCCTTTTGTCAAGAAATGAACATGATGTGCCTTTTTGTTTCTTTACTTGACATGGCAACCAGAAAGCTTGGAATCAGATTTATGGCTTGGACAACAATCAACTCCAGAGTCTAGAAGCACCTAGTCCTTCTTCCCTTCCCAGAGAAACTCTTCTGCTTTCAGTTTCCCTCTGCCCCAGTAATCCTCACCCTAAACCTGAAACAGGATGAAAGAATTTTGGAATACATGTTGTATTAATTGGCCTGTTCTTTGCTTCCTTATATTTCACTAGCCCTACACTGATCATGGGAGTAATATCACCCGTAATTAGGCATCATAAGGGCAATGATTTCATTAAGGCTCCTTTAATGGATTCGGACATGTGCGAGGCAGGGTGTTATACAACACAGTCAAACACTTTATCACCTTGTGATAATTGGAGTTGCTGAATTACAGTAACAGAGCAACTGAAGGTAATTTCCTATTTGGCCAAAGTCATCTGACCTCCTCCAGGCCTTCAATTATCATATTTCTTCTTGGAATCAGGTCTCTCTTCTACTCAGAAGCTGCTGCAAGCTCCAAGCTATTACGGCAGATTCTAAGCTTGCACAGGAGCCGTGAAGTTCTAATTTTCTCATTACACAACCTCATCTGTCAGCTATTTACTAGCAAGCCAGCCCTGTTCTTTAGTTCAGGTGATAAATAGGCATGAACAGCTTAGCGAGCAGAGAGGCAAATAAACATTTGAAAATGATCAGGCCCCAAGAATCTTCTATCAGACAGTGTTATGGGTCAGAGAAAACTGGAGCAAAGCACGGAACGAGACACAGAGAAGAGGCGACACCCAGCTTGCCCTCTTTCACTTAGAATTGCAATGACAGCAATAGGCAATTTCTCCTGCTACATGGAGAGTCTCACATGGTTCTTTGGACAGTGTTGTCAAACTTAGCAAAGTTGATTGCATAACAAGAGCTACTACTTACTGCACATCTGATAGGTGTGCTACTGTATATGAAAATGGTAATATATGCATGTTAACCCCCTCTGAAATCAGAACCGTTCAAACTGTGCACATTGATCATTCATTTATTCTCATTAAATGTGATTATAAATGTTATAAGCACTATGTAAGTGTTAGGCACCAGCTTCTGTTCACACAAGTGAATGGTTCAATGAGTACCTCGATCCAAATACCATGAGAAACAGCAGAAGAAAACAGAATCACCACCCTCAAGTTGCTGATAGTCTAGTAGGGCATAGATACTGTATAAATCAGCGTAAAAATAGTGACATTATTGCCATCGCGATTGATGTAATGAAATAGATGCCATAAGAAGATAGAACAGAGAACCTCGCTTAGTTGGTGTAAAGAAATTAGCAAAGAAATTGTCTTTAGGTTAAAACTCTGAAGTTAACCACATGAAGAGGTAGGAGGAAGAATATTTCAGAAACAGGAAACAGCATAGATGGAGGTGCTTACATAAGAAGGAGCTTGAGATAATAAACAAGGAAAGGGATGGTTTGTCTAGACTTTAGTGAGCAATGATGATTGAAGGATGAATGCAATATACATGGTAAGAGGGGGAATTTTGCTTTCTGAGCAATGGGGAGCCATAGAAGGGCTGACAATCGGTTATTCAGGGATTGGCTCTGAATGACAAGTCATCATGATTTGCATGACTTCCAAAGGCATTGAACAAGTCAATAGCCAATACATCTACAGATGTTTACTTAGAAATATGAAAATTAACTATGCATAATAAATCTCTCACTTCTTCCTGGATTATCAAAAAGAACAGTTTAGCCAGAGCATAGTTTCATCAGAGAATTAGAAAAAGATAAAGTTGGAAGGCTTTCAATTTCAAATGCTAAAACAAGGAATGTAAATATTTTTGTTTTTAGAAGGGGAAAGGAAGAGGACAGAGAAACTAACCTTGTAAATTGTTATCTGTAGGCATTGTGCTGGATATTTTATATGTAAATTTTCTCATTTGATAATCAAAACTCTCAGAAATTAATTTTTTTAGACTTTTTTTTTTTTTGGCCATAGAGCCTGTGCATATGCCAGAGAGAGACAGAGAGGGGAAGTAAGAAACCACATCTCTCTTAAGAGGAAAATAGCCATGCCACAACCCCCTCTCCTCCATCCTCCTCCAGGGATTTTGGGCACACATACATACCTGCCCAGCATGATTTTCAAGATGCCTGGTCCAGGACTTGAACCATGGTCAACCAGTGGGAGTCCAGCAAGGAATGTAAATATTTTTGTTTTTAGAAGGGGAAAGGAAGAGGACAGAGAAACTAACCTTGTAAATTGTTATCTGTAGGCATTGTGCTGGATATTTTATATGTAAATTTTCTCATTTGATAATCAAAACTCTCAGAAATTAATTTTTTTAGACTTTTTTTTTTTTTGGCCATAGAGCCTGTGCATATGCCAGAGAGAGACAGAGAGGGGAAGTAAGAAACCACATCTCTCTTAAGAGGAAAATAGCCATGCCACAACCCCCTCTCCTCCATCCTCCTCCAGGGATTTTGGGCACACATACATACCTGCCCAGCATGATTTTCAAGATGCCTGGTCCAGGACTTGAACCATGGTCAACCAGTGGGAGTCCAGCACTTTAACCACCATGCCACCTACTGGCCCAGCTCAGAAATTAATTTAACTTGAGCATATCTGAATGTTCACCCTCACATCATCAAATTTCTGAGTTAGGAATGCTAAGGCTTAAACATATTTAAAATACTGGTGAGCCTTAAGATACTGATCATCGCTCCCCAGTCTAACCTTTGTTTAAGACATTTTGGGCCCTGTCAACATCTTTGCTTCCACCTGGAGATCCCAAGCCACATACTTCTATAGCCACAACTGATCACCTCTAAGCCCATGGCCCATAAGGTCTGACTAGAAGATAGTAGGAGTTTGGAGTGAAAGCCAGAGCCACACAGGTCAAGCCGAAGTTGCAGGGAGCAGAGGACTGCTGAGCAATAGAAACCTCATCTGCAGAGACACAGGCAGAGAGAACATGGGAAACAGAGAGACACAGAGATGAAAGGCAGCTCAACCCCAGAGACAAAGGCCACATACTTGGGTTTCCTTGTGTGAAATCTTTGACCTGTGTTCAGTTATCTATTACTCTGTAAGAAATCATCCCAGACTGGGCAACCTGAAAAACCAATAATCAGTTATTCTCAACTCCCACATTTCTGAAATTATCTGGCTTTGAAATCTCTCATGTGGCTGCAGTCAGACCATGACTGGAGCTGGAATCAATGAATGTTTGGCCTAAATTGCATCTTGGGCGTCTGGACTAGAAGACTTACACAGGTGGGACTGGGACATGTTAGGCTCCCCAGCATCTTTCTCTGTCTCTGTGTGATCTTTCCTCCATTGTGGCTTTGAAAGCCTGGAAGTTTTCCAGACTTAACATTCCAAAGACATCTGTTTACAGGAGAATTCACCTGTTATGACCTAATCTGGCTAGTCATGAAGCATTACTTCCACTGCACTCTACTGTTTAACTTCAGGTTGTAAAGGCCAGCCAGTAGTTAAGAGGCAAATCGGACTCCATCCCTTGATGGGAGAAATATCAAATAATTTGTAGACATGTTTTTGAACCTCTACAACCTGTCCCTATTTTTTTTTAAATTTTTTAATGCCTGTGTACATTCCTTTGAATTAATATATCTATACCTCTTTACTAATAAAGATGGATTTATGTCCTTATAACCAAAAAGTGTCCTGACTGAAACACAAGATACAGTCAGCTTTCTTGAGCCAGAACCCAGACCTGTCTGACTGCAAAAGCCCATGTTTTTCCTTCTGAACACTGTGGTTATGAACCATCATGGGGTGCCATAGGGGATGCAATCATCAGCTGGACAAACCACTGGAGTTCTAGGATGGACTGCCCAACAGTCTCACCCAGAAGTGGCAGCTAACATTGTATGAGTGGGTGAGCTCTCTGAAGGGCAATGTCTGGGAAGCAAAGAGCACAAAGAGAAGGCCAGAACCAGGAAGAACACTTCCATGGAAGCTGCAAATAGTTTGAATATGTCCCTTACAAAGCACATGCTGAAAACAATCCCTAGTACAACATATTGGGAGGTAGGGCCCAATGGGACATGTTCAGGTCACGAGGGCTCCACCCTCATAAACAGATCAATGTCATTATCACAGGAGTGGGTTGCTTATAAAAGGACAGATCTGTCCCCCTCTTGCTCTCTCTCTGGCCCTCTCTTGCCTTTCCACCTTTCCCCATAGGATGATACAGCAAGAAGTTCCTCGTCAGATGCTGACTCTTTGATCTCAGATTTGCCAGACTCAAGAACTGTAAGAAATAAATCTCTGTTCTTTATAAAGTACCCAGCCTCAGGCCTTCTGTTATAGCAGTACAAAACAAAGACAGAAGGAAAACTTGTCATCATAAGGCACAGTGGTGACCAGTTCGAGAGTTGGGAACCACAGAAACCAAAGAGGAGAGATCTTCCAGAACAAGGGGGTGGCCCCTGCTGTGGAAACTTGCTTCAGTAATCAGAATGCTTGTGGGCAGGTGATAGAAATCTCAACTCAACCTAGCATGGAGGGGAAGAAACGAAAGAAACAATCTAGAGAGAAGGATCCTAAGGCAACCCATAGATGCAAAGGAGAATTTTAAGAGGACCAACAACTTAGGAGACCTTGAAGCCTAGAGTTCAGTTCATTTTCTTCCTCTCCTCTTGCTCTCTCTCACCTCACTCTCTCACTTCTATTACAACAGGCTCTCTTATGAAGCAGAGAATGGTCACCAGGAGTCACAGATTGTCCTTCTAGCTCCATGAAACAAAGACAAGCATGACCTCCCTGCTAGCCTAAATCAGAAAAATGCCATGGGTCTCTGATAACTCCAACTGTGGTCATTTCCTCTATGAAGTCATTGTAGCAGTGTAGGGATGGGATACTGTGATTGATCATCACAGGTAAGGGGCAGAATCTGTTATAAGAAGGAATGAACAGGGGAGGCACATTGGAAAAGGCAATGACAATTACCATGGAAGTGATACTTGGCAGGCGCTAAGAGCTTTCCATGTCAGGGAGTTAGACACAATAGCTGCCTCCCTTTCCCCTTATTTTCCACTATAGCCAAATGGCCACCCATGTCCAATGCCTCCACTTCCACTCCCTAGTAGGAGCGAATACCTCAGAATACAAATCTTCCACCTCCTTCAGACTAGCCTGACCACTTAGTCTCTGATGTGAATTTTCAGTCATGCATATACTTTCCACCAGCCTTGGAATCCCATCTCATAGGATCATGAGTCTATGAGCCACTGATAGGATCATAAGTCTATGAGCCACTGAGACCCCCTAAATCTTTCTTTTTGTTTCCTGTCCTATGCCCCAGATTCAGCTCAAAAATTTTAAAACTTGCTTATGCTTCAGGCTTTACATATATCCCCATTTTTATCATCTGCCTGTTTCTGACCATATGTCCTATACACGCTCATACTCAGGTCTGCTCTCCAAATTAAAGCTCAGATCTGCCTTGATCACCAGTGTTGAGGCTTCTCCCACTGCCTGACTCTTGGCTGCTTTTCACCCTGGACCATCTCCTCACCGTGTCTGAGCCCAGCATGCTGATGTCCTCAGGTAGAGTCAGCTATGGAAGTTAGCCAGGAAGAGACAAGAGCTCTCCAGGTAGAGGGTATCTCAAGCATAAAAATATAACACCCTGACACCCCACCTATCTTTCTCATCCCCAGGATCCTCTCAAAATGACCAATAAAGTACGTCAGAGGAAAAAGCTTCCACAGGGAAAGACACTAGAAAGTTTTCTATTTGAGACCAACTCCTCACTTCTTTCAGGTCTTAGCTTATCTTCCCAATGGACCAGTGACTCTAACCTGACCACCTGTGAAAATGAGCACCAACACTACCTCCCCTCACTGCCATTCCTGAAGCCCCCTTTACCCCGTTCTATGTTTACGTAACCTTCTAAAATACTATCTAATGTATGACATATTATATCTGTTATTATTTATTGTCTCCTTCCTCTCCTGACTCTTGCTAGAATTTGACTTCTATAAGAGTAGGGGTAATTAGAATGGCTATTATCAAACGAAGTGAAAAATGAGCATTGAAGATGTAAAAAAACCAGAAACCCTGTGCGCCTTTAATGGGAATGTAAAATGGTGTAGGCACTATGGTGGTTCCTCGAAAAACAAAAAATAGAATTACCATATAATTCAGCAATTTTACATCTGAGAATATACCCCCCAAAAAAACCCCACAAAACTAAAAGCAGGGCCTCTAAAAGATATTCATCTACCCTTATTCATAGCAACATATTTCATAATAGCCGAAAGGTGAAGCAATTCAAGGGTTCCTCAGTGGATAAATGGAGGATAAGCAAAGTGTGGCATATACATTTAATGGACTATTAAACATCCTGAAAACAAAAGGAAATTCTGATACATGCTGCAACATGGGTGAGTCTTGAGATATCATGCTAAATTAAATAAGCTAATCATAAAAGGATAATTCTATATAATTTCACTCAGATGAAAAAAAGTTAATGGGAAAATAAAATGAAAGTATAAATTTATTTTGGTGAAAATAATCTTTAAATCTATGCATAGATTTTTCATGATATGCATTTTCTATGAACTTTCTGCAGTCCCTACGAGGTACCTGGAGTAGTCAAATACAGAAAGTAGAGTGGCTTGACTCTCAGCCCACCCTAAAGAGTTGAGTGTGGTGGAGTGCCCTTGTAGTCCCAGGTGTTCGGGAGGCTGAGACAGGAGGATCATGAGTTTGAAACAGTGTGAACAACATGGTGAGGCTCTACTTGAAAGAGCCAAGCATGTGGCACACACCTGTGGCCTTAGCTACTCAGGAGGCTGAACTAAAAGGATTGCAACAGTGAAATCTTGTCTAAAACAACCCCCACTACACCCACCTGCCACACACACACACACACACACACACACACACAGATTTTTCAGGATTTAAGAGAAAAAGACAATGACTAAAATTATGACAAGATAATAGAAATTGAAGACAGAAAATGACCATGCAATATACAAATGACTTGCTTATTTTCAAGAAAGTCCAGAAAAGAAACAATGAGGAAATAGAACAAAATATTTTCACAAACTAGAGAACTATTCTGTAAGAAGAGCATAAGGATATGGGACCAGCAGATGGCATAGTGGTTATGTCACTGGACTTCCACGTGGCCAACCACAGTTTGAGTCCTGGACACAGCAGCTTGAAATCCATGCCGGGTGTGTGTGCATGTGTGCCCAAAATCCCAGGAGAATGGAGGAGAAAAGATTGTGGCCATCTCCCCTGGGTGGATAATTTCTTGCTTTCTATCTCTCTGTCTCTCTAACAAGCACATGTGCCCTATAACAAAAATCTCTAAAAAAAAAAAAAAAAAAAAAAAAAGAGTATAAAGATATCTACATTTCAGATATTTGATTTTTAAATATCAGTGAAAATAGAGGACGACCTAAATAGCTTAGAAAGTTTGTGACCCAAAAATTCTAGACCTAGAAATCTGTCCTTTTTAGTATAAAGGCGATAGGAAAATGTTTTCAACCAAGAAAATGTAGCACCATGTATTTGCTTTGGGGGAAAAAAGTCTTGAGAATAAAAACCAAGTCAAGACATGATATAGGAACTGGACACTGCTATGGTGCTATGGCTGGATTCCACATGACTAGCTGTGCCGTGGGAGTCCCAGACCCAGAAGCTTGACATACATGCTTTGTTGCATGTACATGTGTGCCCAAAATCCTAGAGGAGAATGAAGGAGAAGGAATTGCAGCATGGCCATGCTCCATAAGGGTGCTTTCTCACTCTCTCTCTCTCTCTCTCTCTCTCTCTCTCTCTCTGGCAAGCAAATGTGTCCTATGGCAATATTTTTTTGAGAGGTTTTTCTGTAGGGTGCATGCGCTCGCCAGAAAAAGAGAGACAGAAAGGGAGAAATCACCCCCCAGGGGGAATGGCCATGCTGCAATCCCTTCTCTTCCATTCTCCTCTTGGGATCTTGGGCATGCATGCACACGTACCCGGCATGAGTTTAAGCCACTGGGTCTGGGACTGGAACCGCAGTCAACAACATGGGAGTCCAGTGACATAGCCATTACGCTAACTGCTGGTCCCCCTATAGCAAATTTTTAAAAAAATTAAATAAAAATACAAAAATAAAAGACATAAAATTGGAAGGAGACTGTGGTACTGATTATAGCAATAATGCTACAATCTATGATGCTGTTCTACTTGAAGAGGTAACATAGTTATGTCTGGAGACCACTCTAAATATGTCAGGCATGTGCATGTCTGTGATTTGGCGCTGGATAAAACTGTAGGTGGATTACAGAATGAAGACTTTGTTAGTGATCCCCCACCCCCATCTTTT